TTACTAGGTAAATCAGTCAGAAATTGTCACGGGAAAGGTTAAGGAATTGAGGAATCTCATTCAAAGGCTACATACTGAGTCAGAAAGCCTCTGGGGCTCCCCAGGACTTGGAACTTGTACTCAGTGGATCCTGCCTGTCTTAGGGCCTGTACTAACGCTTTTCCTGGCCCTCACCTTCAGCCTCTGCCTAGTCAGTGCACACCAGTGCTTCATCGAGGCCACAGTAGTCAAGAAAACAGCAGCCCGACTGCCACTAAACTGAAATGTAAAGGTAATGCTCCATATAGTTCATAAAAGAGCATCAAAGGGGAATGAAGTGGAAAGTTTGTGAAAAATCTCCTGATTGCCCGACTAACCACCACTATCTGCTTCTGTATGCACGCTTCCTGCTTGCTAACTAGGAAGTCCCTTGAGAAACGGCCACATTGCCTAAAACCTTCAGTTACTCCCCTGCACCCAACCTATAAAAGTTGTGTGCTATTACAGGCCAGGGCCAGACCTTTGGGTGCGAACCTGTCTGGGCCCGCTGGCGTAATAAACTGTGTTCCTCCGACCCTCTGAATGACGTTTGGGTTTCTTGTCAGGTGAAATTCTTCCGCAACAGAACTAGTTTATATTCCCACCAACAGTGTAAGTGTTCCTATTTCTCCGTAGACTTGCCAGCATCTATTGCTTCTTGACTTTAGTAGTTGCCATTCTGACAGGTGAGAGATGGTATCTCATTGTGATTTGTTTTGCATTTCTCTAACGATCACTGATGTGGAGCTTTTTTTCATATGTTTCTTGGCCACATATATGTCTTTTTCTGAAAAGTGTCTGTTCATGTCCTTTGCCTACTTTTTAATGGGGCTTTTTTTTTTCTTGTAAATTTGTTAAAGTTCCTTGTAAACAAATAGGTGAGCTCTCATCATTCTTGTTTAAACACCTAACAGGCATCCTAACCAGTGCAACATGGCAAGACAATGAAATAAAAGACCAATAGAAGAACCGAGCATGGTAGCTCATGCCTGTAATCACTACATTTCCGGAGACTGACGTGGGAGAATGACTTGAGTTCAGGAGTCTGAGACCAGCCTGGTGGTGAGACCTTACCTCTACCAAGGAAACATAATTTTAAAAGGAAAAAGATCAATGAATAGGAAATAAATAAATAAATGTCTTTTTTTTTTTGTCACCAGCTTCATTGCATATGTAGAAAACACTAGGAAATTCTGAAAAAGTCTCTGGAATTAATCACTGAATTTGCAAAATAGTTCATAAAATACATGTAAGAAGTCACTGAGATGAACATGAAGAGATAGCAAGCAATACTAGTCATCAAAGAAGTGAAAGTTAAAACCATGATGAGAAACCATCACTCATCACCTAGAATAGGTAAAGTTAAAAATACACATGATAAATCTAAATACTGGCAAGAATATGGAAAAAATAGAAATGTCTGATATTGCTGGTGGGAATGCAAAAAATGTTGCTGCCAATTTGTAAAGCGGTTTGGCAATTTCTTATACAGCTGCCCATCCATTACCACAGGACCCAGCAATCCCACAAACATGTATTTATCCAAAAAAATAAAAATATAAGGCCACATTTGTAAGCAGTTATTTATAGTGGCTTCATTTTGACACATCCTAACTGGAGTAATCCACGTTTCTATCAAGTGGACACCAGTGAATAAACTGGGATTCCAGCAATACTGGGCAGCTGCTCAGCAACAAAAATGAATGAATGACATCATCTCAAACATTGTTATGCTGAGTGACAGACCAAACAAAGGACTACATCACATATGATTGCATGTCCATGAAATTCTAGAAATTTCACTAGTCCAGTGACAGAAAGCAGAGCAGTGGTTGAGTGAAGGGAAGGGGTGAGGGTGGGAGGCAAGGATTAAATAGAAAGGGACAGAAAGAAAGTTTTTAGGGGAAAAGAAACTGTTCTGTACAGTGCCACCATTCTGGAGTGACTGGGCGGTGGGAGCTAAGGAGAGAGGAAGGTGTGAGGGATGAGGGGCAGAGAGAAGGGCTGGGGAAGCAGGAGGTGAGGAAAAGGAGCAGGGGAAAGGACTCTAAAGCAGTGGGGGAGCCTAGCAGGGGGTTCTTTGAATGTGGTGTTTCTCTACTAACCAGTGTGGTAGTTACACACTACAAGTAATTACCAATATTCACCAAAAAGCTCAGCTAAAACTCGTAAATTTTAGTTATATGTAAATGCCCTAATAAGAAAAAAAAGGGGGAGGAGTGCAGGGAAAAAGGCCAAAAGTAAAGACATTTTTAGATAATCAAAACCATAAAATTCATTTCCTAGGCATCTTGTACTACATGTAATTTTAAAGGAAATTCTTCAGGCTGAAGGGAAATGATACTAGATGGTGACCCAGAGACACAGAAAGGAACAATTAACAACAGAAATGATGCACACACACATATCACATACACACACTCATTTTCTTAATTTCCTGAAGGCATATGACTGCTTTTCTAAAACAGAAACATTACACTGTATCATTGAGTATATAATGTATGTTGATGTAATATATGCAACAATAATAGCATAATGGTAGGTTAAATGAAACTATGCCATTT